TGTTCTCGTTTATTTATATAACTGTAAATAAAATTATTAAAAAATAGCATCCTCATATTTCTCAATGTTAGGATTCTCTTTAAGGCCACTTTTATATCTTGCTTCCAATTTGTTACTGTGTAATTGTTTCATCACGTGTTTGTTTATTTGTAATCTCCCTGTCCATGGATTTCTCTAAAGAAATAGAAGAAGTCTGTTCTGCTAGCATGGCTAATTCTTTTTGTAAATGATCTAGATTTACAGTCTTGGTTTATGATCCAAACCTATGCCAGTTCATTCTTTTCAGAATCTAATTCTCTTGCTTTATTATATTTTCATCATGCATTCTGAGGTACAGCTGTGTAAAACTACCTTCATGCTCACAGGTTCCTTTTGTAATAGAAAGAACCTTTAATTGCTATAAGACTAAAGAAATCAGCTATAATTCAAAATAGCTGCACTGTTTTAGCAAGATATACATTAATTTCCCCAGTGGCTAAAAATGTTTTAAAAATATAAATGAAGTAGTTAGTCCTTGTAGAATCAAGGAAATAATGACAAACCATTTTAATTGTTTTTTAAAAAGCAGACTTCAGCATTCTCATCGCCTCATTACTTCCAGTGACTTAGCTTCCTCTGGATGCCTACATCATGAGTAAATCTTGTGACAGCTGCAACTGTGCTTCATCTTATGCCTCTCTACCTTGCATCCAAGGATTATGAAATTTAGAAATTGACTTTGACATAATTTAATAAAATTTGCATAATAAGATTAGCTCTTTTCTTTAGTATACAGGTTTGATACCTGACTGTTACAAACTTTCTTTAAGTCAGTTCAGAAAGTTTAAGAAATGGGGCAGGTGGGGTGGAGTGGAGTGAGGTGAAATCTGCACACCTCTATTGTAAACTCTGGAATTATATTTATTAGGCTTTATAGATTCTAAATGAGAGAGTTAGGCTCAATGATAACTCCCCCAGCTCTATATTTACCAGTAAGTATCATAAAAATACTGTTTGTTAATTTTATGCATCCGGTTGGTACTGAATAAAAACTTATGAAGTAGATACTAGTTGGGAAGACCTTCGTTTAGACTTCTTGGCATATTATGATGCCTAGTGTGGAATTTTCCAATAGCTAAATTGTCACATTTTAGAATACTTTAATTTTACTTAATTTAATTATCAAAAATGCATATTACTTAGTAATGCATGATTACATCTCCAAAGAAATGAATATATTTTTGAATAAGTTGCTCTGTCCTCAAATCTATCCACTCCTCCAGAAGAAAAAAAAAAAAAAACATTGTTATCAGCTTGGTATGTATCTTCCAGATATGTATTTGATATATTTATATATATATAGAATATATATGGTGTTGACTTGTATTATGTATGTATTTTAAATGAATAGTATATTGTATATTATTGATCCTCTTTCAATAAAGTTTTCTCAGAGTTTCTCAGTTAGCAATTCTGGTTAAAGGGTTACATACCACCATTTCTATCTCAGGCACAACTGTGAAGGAGATGAAATTATCTCTTGGGCTCTATTATTTTGCTCATTATATCCCTTGCTCATCTTCATTTTTCTTTTTTTTTTAAGTTTTTATATTAATTCCAGTTAGTTAACATACAGTGTAATATTAGTTTCAGGTATACAATATAGTGATTTAACACTTCCATACATCATCCTGTGCTCATCACAAGTGCACTTCTTAATCCCCATCACCTGTTTCACCCATCCCCCCACCACCTCCCCTCTGGTGACATCAGAGTCTGTTTCTTGATTTGCCTCTTTCTCTTTTTTTTTTCCCTTTGCCTGTTTGCTTCGTTTCTTAAATTCTACATATAAGTGAAATCATATGGTATTTGTCTTTCTCTGACTGACTTATTTCACTTAGCATAATACTCTCTAGCTCCATCCACATCAATATAAATGGCAAGATCTCATTCTTTTTGTGGCTGAATAAGAGTCCATTGTAAATATATACCACATCTTCTTTATCCATGTATCAGTTGAGGGACAATTGGGCTGTTTCCATAATTTGGCTATTGTAGATAATGCCTATAAACATAGGGGTGTGTGTCTCCCTTTGAATTAGTATTTTTGTATTCTTTTGGTAAATACCTAGTAGTGCAATTCCTGGATCATACGGTATAGTTCTATTTTTAACTTTTTGAGGAACCTCCATACTGTTTTCCAGAGTGGCTGCACCATCTTCATTTTTCAATCCCTCCTCTTTCCTTCCTCATCCTATCACTTAGACTTCAAGGAAAAGATTTCTGCTCTTCACTTTGAACTTAAGTCAGCATGTTACTTACAAAATTTGTATATTAATCCTTGGCACCAAGTATAAAATAAAAGATTTTTCTCTAGTTCAAAGAACTTCCAGTACCAATAAGACAACAGGGAAATGTTTTAGGGAGCATGAGGTTTCTTTTTTTGTCCCTGAAGTCCTACCTATTAGGTACCTACTCATTCTGTAAGGCCATGAAGCCAACTCAGTCCAAGAATATTTTGAAAAGAAAAGTGTACATTTTGAATAGGCCTTCCATTTGATTATGGAACCACTTCTTGGGATTCCAGTTAATAATTTGAAATTATGGGCTCCTCTGCTCAGCCAGGAGCAAGGCAGTGAAGAGTTAAGAAGATTGCTCAACAAAAGGAAACAGGTTATTTACTCTGAGAATATATGCACCACTACCGCTGTTATGTAGTAATAACTGTTTTAACGCAGCTAAGAAATACTGGCCCTGAAACAAACAAAAAGAGCTCTTGGGTTCTCTACCCCCACTTTGGGCTCTTCTGAGGTCATTTGGATTCCATGCATTAAAAAAAAATTTGACTGCTACTACTATGGATTTCAAATTCACCATCCTGGTGCTGTTTCTTACTTTGAAGAGTGTGTACCTACTTGCTAAGAATCAGGCATAATAGTAGCCATTTTGTATACTTTACATTTTATTAAAACCCTCAGATTTAATAAGATAAATATTAGGATGCCCATTTTATGGGTGAAGACTTTGAAATTCAAGGTGACCTACTCAGTAATTGTTTCATAATTCAGACTGAGATGAAGAGAACTTCAAAGTCTGTCTTTTCCATTAAACCTTGCAGCTTCTCTTCATATCCCTTTCTTTAAAACAATATTGCATAGAGGGGGCACTGGGTGGCTCAGTCGGTTAAGTGTCAACTCTTGATTTCTGCTCGGGTCATGATCTTGGGGTCATGGGATCAAGCCTGGTGTGGGGCTCTACCCTCATCAGGGAGTCTGATATTCTCTCTCTCCCTCTTCCTCCGTTCCCACGTCCCCACCCTGCACTCACGCGAGCATGCTCTCTCTCTCAAATAAATAAATCTTTAAACAATATTACATAGATTGTTTTATAAGCAGTCTTGTGTAATATTTTGGGCTCTCACTCTTAGTGTCATCTTTTTGTAAAGTTTTAAAAATCTAGTATTCATAATTAGGTATGAATGTAATTTGCCATCTTAGAAATTCCACCAGCCAAAACCCATCTACAGGCTTGCTGATAGAAGTTTTCTTTTCACTAAAAGCATCTGCTAGCTAAAATAAAGACCAATAGTGAGAAGCCACTTGAATAATCAAGTCTGTTCGCTGACTAAACTTGTTTCTCCATTGCAAATTCTTCGATTAATGAAAGCCTTGAGTTCTTTTGAGGGATTACATAAAGTATTCCTCTATGTCTAACAATGTCCTAGCAGTGTTTTGAAGAGATATTATAATTTTTTTTCTCTGGCTGTCATTTATCTGACATTGTGTGGGGGTTTTTTTGTTTGTTTTTATTTTTATCTGACATTGTTTTAATGTGATGGACTCTTGTGGCTTGAATTTTTAGCTTCTTTTTGTTGTTGCAAAATCAGTTGCTACTACTTCAAATTATTTTCCTGTGGAGGTACTATATTTGCACCAGGTGTCATTTTTGTATATATTTCATGTTGCATTTAGTGAAAACACAGGTGTTCTAGAATAACCTGTTTTTGTGTTTGTATCTTTTTTTTAAGATTTTTATTTATTTATTTCACAGAGAGAGACATAGCGAGAGAGGGAACACAAGCAGGGGGAGTGGAAGAGGGAGAAGCAGGCTTCCCGCGGAGCAGGGAGCCTGATGTGGGGCTCGATCCCAGGATCCTGGGATCATGACCTGAGCCGAAGGCAGATGCTTAATGACTGAGCCACCCAAGCGCCCCTTGTGTTTGTATTCTTAGCTAATATATTTACTCTGTATTGATACTTAAACTCATTGAAGTAAAATTTTTTATTAGAAGATAAAATTCTTTGGTCTTTTATTTCTTGCCATTTCAGTCATTCTGCTTTGGAAAGATAATGCTATTTGAGTCTAACAAAATATCTTAAGATTATTAAGCATAGTTATGCATAGTAAACTTTAAATAATTAGGAAATTATTCAAAAATCAATTTATTCTATTGAATTTTCAGTTAAGAATAATTTAAGCATATTCACAAGGTGAAATACCTCTGTTATTTAATGTGTTTTATATTATTCACATAGTGGAGCTCTGTTAGGTGAGCTTCGGTGACTATTTTTGACATGATGGGATATATATTACTGAGATGCCAAGACCTTGTGTGTATGTCTGTTTTATCCACTAAAACCCTCCTCAAGTATTTGTGAAATGGTTAAGGGTTAGCATTCCATATGTACTTGTGGTTGATGTTTCAGAAATACAAGCAAGATATTTTGTATCTGTGAACTTCTTGGATTGAAAGGATCTTCTAAAAAGTGTTCTCAGCTGCTCAGATTGCTCATGGATTCAAATTTTAGAGAACAAAATTCCATGAAGCCACTGGCAATATCATCTAGTCCACCACCACCTTTATAGTCAGTCTTTTTTTAGGTTTCAGTTAAGTTCACTTCTGGAATACTAGCCAATTTTCATTTACTGGTTGAGGCATTGTCACAAGAACATAAGTTCTTCCATTCTAGGAATGTAAATTAACAATGACTTTTTCTTTTTCTTTCTTTTTTTTTTTTTAGAGCATCAGGGCATCAGGCCTTATCCTGTTGGAAACAATTCTTTTTGGGTCTCTGCTTCTATACTTTCCAGTAAGTAACATAATTGCATTTTAAAAATAACCATTTGTTTTATTTTGCTCAGGCAGTAATTTTTATATATATGTGTGTGTATTTATATATCTATATCTATATATCTATGTATGTATATGTGTTTATATAAATATATGTGTATATATATCTATGTATATTATCGTATCAATAACTCTTCAAATATATATTACTTTTTTATATATCTATATACAAGTTTATATACCTGTATCTATATATAATAGACATATAAAGTAAAGTGGAGGTAATCGTACTTTTCTTCCCAAATTTATGAAGAGGGTTGACTGCTTAAGTGAGCTAACATAAAAAAGGCATGCTTGATATGTATGCTTGCCATATACATATAAATATTGGTTTCCTTCTTCCTTCCCTACTTGAATCAAAACGATGAGACACACCAACAAGTTTGTGCTGAAAAATTCCAGATGGTTACATAGAAAAATAAACAAAATAAATGCATGTGTGGTATTTGTGGCATAGATAATCCTAGTAGACTCTTCCTGTCACCCTGGCAACCTGTCTGTAACCACAAGGTAAGTACTTATTTTCCTAATTCAATTCAACCGACTTATATTCAGCAGTTATTGTGTGTTAAGTACTATACTAAACTGGCATGTTTTGTGAGTGAGAGAAACTTGATTTCTCCTCTCAGGAAGCTTACAGTTTATAGAATGAGATGAGTCCGTACAGGCAATTATAATATAATTGAAAAAAGCTGAGATACTGTGGAGGCAGGGTGCTGTGGAGACACTTAGGAGAGACAACTAACTAAGTCTAGGGAATAAAGTATCACTCGACTGAGATCTGAAAGATGAGTAGATGTTAGAGAAGAAAAAGGTAGGGCTTCCATGGCACCATGTTCTTTTTGGTTTACCTCTTACCTCACTAGTTGCTCCATTTCAGCCTTCTTTGCTGATTCTTAATCTTCTTTCCCACCTCTTAAGTGCCTCAGGCATCATCCCTAGTGGAGCTTTTCATGTTCTATATTCTCCCTCGGTGATCTCATCTAGTCTCAAACTGTTAAATACTGTTTATATACAATGACTCCCAAATTTATATTTCCAGCTTAGACCTTTCCCCCTGAGCTCTAAATTCATATTCAATTGCTTACTCTGCAACTCCATTTGAGGGTCTACCAGAATTCCCTATCATGTTCTTAACTGAGATACTTGATCTCCCACACACCCAAAGTCAGTCTCCTCTATCTCCATTGATGACAACTCTGTCCCATTGGTTACTCAGGCTAAAACTTGGGAGTCATTCTTGACAACTTTCTTTTTCTCACATCCATTAGAAACCCTTCCGAACATAGCAAAAACCCAACCACTCCCTCCACCTCATTCAGTGCTACCATCCTGGTCTAAACCACAATCAGCCTCTTCTGGATTATTGGCGTAGTCCCTCCCTGGCCTCTGTCTCTCTACACTAACACCCCTGTGATCTGTCTATTTTCAAAGTATCAGCTAGTTGTAATGCCCAGTTTAAACCATGACACCCCTCAAAACTCTCAAAAGGTTCACAATTTTACTTATAGTAAAAGCCAGTATTCTTAGAATAAGCTCCAAGATCTAACATGATTTGGATCCTGCCCCCCTCTATTTCCCCATTCTCTAACCCTCTTCCCCCACTCAGTGTTTATAAGGGTTCTTAATTTATTCAAGTTTTCTACTTCTTGAATTATATTTCTTCTTAAGATAGAAATTTATTTGGGTATAATCATTTTAACCTTTTCCATAAAATCATCCATATTACTAAAGTTGTCTAATTTACTAGTATGGAGTTATGCACAGTAATTAATAATAGAAGCAATATAATACAAAGAGTCTTTATCATGCCTGGGACTGTTTCTGTATAATGGCAAGTTATGTATCATAACATTTCATCTTCCCCATAGAACTACCAGAAAGATGTTTAGCCAAAGTTATAGAATCACCCAATTAGGAAGTAAAGACCCAAATGACTTCACTAATCTGAATAATAATCATCTGAATATCTGTTGTTGCAGTCACCATCATCTTATTTCCTGAACCTCTGCTATTTTAAAATACACTTTCTATCCAGTAGCCAGAAGGATATTTTTAAAATATAAAATCTAATCTGTCACTACTTCTATAGCTAGCTTCCCAGAGTTCTTAGAATAAAGATCAAAACCTTTGATATGGTGTATGATGTTATCTATAGTGTGGTCCTTGCCCACCTCCCCAGCCTCATCCAGTACCACTTTTCTTCTCACTTTCTGCACCCAGCTACTCTGGCCTTTCCGTTCATAAATGATATATAATGTCTCTCATGGTGGTATTATAATGGCTCCCCAAAAATGTCCATTGTCCTAATCCCTGGAACCTACAAGTATGTTACCTTACATGTAAAATGGGACGTGATGAAATAAAGGACTTTGAGATAAAGAGGTTATCATGGATTTTGTAGATGGACTCAAGGGTCCTAAGTGAAAATGAGAAGCAAAGAGAGAGAACCAAAGAGAAACTATCGTGAAAAAGATTGGACTGACTCTTGCTGGCTTTGAAGATGGATGAAAGAAACCACAAGCCAAGGGATGTAGGCAGTCTCTAGAAGCTGGAAAAGGCAAGGAAACAGATTCTTCCCGAGAGCCTCCAGAAAGAACACCATGATTTTAGCTCTGTAAGATCCATTTTGAACTTCTGAAGTCCATAACTGTAAGATAATAGATCTGTATTGTTTTAAGCCACTAAGTTTGTGGTAGTATGTTACAGCAGCAGTAAGAAACTAAGACGCCTCTTAGGACGTTTTCACATGCTTTTCCTTCAGTTTTGAAGAGTCCTCCTTTCTTCCTACCCACCCCTGCCCCCCACCATCTCATGACTTCTTTTGCCTAATTAACAACTTGCTAGTTATCCTTCAGATTTCTACTTAAATATCACTTTTTTAGAAGAGGTTTCTTTCCTTGACTCCAAATCAGAATCAAATTCCTTTTAATAGTTTCTCATGGAATCCCACTGTCTTTCTTGACAAACCCCATCTCAGTTTGTAAGTGTACATTCACAAATGCCATTATTTGATTAATATCATTCTCCTGCATAAACTCTAGTTCTTTGAGATAAGGAGATGATACAGCTATTTTGCTCACAGCCAAGTACCTATAACCATAGCTGAAGCACAGTAAATATGTAGTGAGTGAAGAAATGAGGATATACTTGAATGAATTTAGACCTGTACCCCAAACTAGTGGCTATTGTCCTATTGAAATAGTAGCTTCCAAAGAATCTGCTTGATTGTGGAAGGCTAAGCATGATGATCCTTATTAATATTACTTTATTTAGTGCTAACAGGCAGTAAAACACTTATTAATGTTATTCTGAGATGTTAGCAAAATTTCATTTTATTTTTTATAAGGTTCATATTTATTCAAATCAAGTGGTTATATTGATGAGCATGGGCGTAAAATCTATAAAAGAATTTTAAAGCCTCTTAAATGGATGAAGTACTCTAGAAAACAAGAACATTTGAAAGAAGAGTAAATTTTATGCTGCTAAATGTTCAAAGCAGTTATTAAAGACCCTTTCATTGACTGGTATACAATTTTGAAAGATATGTGATGGACCTGTACCTATGATGATGTCAGATACAGAGAAAAAAAAGGAGAAAGAAACGGAAATTTAAGAGGAATGTGAAGATAGCACTTCTGCTTCATAATTCTGATATGCCTGAGAGGGAAAAAATAACAGAAAAGAAGACTTACCAAAAAAAAATCTAACAGAAACCTCATTATGTTGACTTCATGATTAATTAGCTATCTCTTTCATCGTTTATAACATATGTTTTTCTGTAACTGCTTGAGATATTAGTATCTAGTTCCCAAGTTTAAACTGTGTACCTTGGTTTCAAGTTAGTTAGTGTTCATGCTCTGAAGACAGAAAGGGTCAGGTTACTTAATGAAGGTTTGAACGGAGCATAAGACAGGGAAGAAAAGGAGATTAAAATATACTATTGATTGAGTCTGGTAAGGAAAGTAATTTTATTTTAGGTGAGAGAATGAGAGATGATATATCAGAAATTGTTAGGAAAGCTTTTTGCTACATAGGGTGTGTATATGTGCGTGGGTGCGTGTGCATAAAACATTCTTGACAAGAGGCATAAGTAGTTTAGTTATTGGACCAAGGCTCATTGACTTCCCTGGGTTTTACAGAAATGAACTTTATAACTTTTGGCTAGACTATATGCTGCAAAGAAGATCTCTGTATTAAGTGATAAAGGTGTAATTTAGTAAACCTAATACAGCCGAAAGTTCTAATCATTTGATGATATAAATGTGACCTATACTTTTCTTATTTGTTAAATATCTTACCTACTTTCTCTGTTCCTGGTGTGGTCCATACCAAAATTGCTTCTGAAAGTTTTAATGGGGATTATAGGTTTTTTGTTTTTTGTTTTTGTTTTTAAGTATGCTTGAATAAAGGAAAATTGTTTTCAGGGCTGGGTAACTCCATGGAAGGAGGCTTTGGGTATTCACTGTTCTGCTGAGTTGTTATGCAATGAGCCTTTTCTTCTTTTTATGCTGCATATTGTTGTTCAGATTTGCAAGAATTAAGGTTATTTTTGCCTTTTCTAAGCAATCTTAGACTACAGACGATTTCATAACAATGCTTATATTGGAAAGTCCAAATTAGAGATTATCATCATTGTGCAGATGAGGACAAACCAAAATCTGACTAAATTTAGCATTGTTATAATTGGATAGCAGAGAACGAAAGCTTTTAAAACATTTTCTTACAGATTCTCAAGAGACTCATGATTTGAAGTCCATACATTTGTGAACAAATGATTAGTCTTCATAATCATCTAAACACTTTCATATAACTTATAGAAAAAAGAAAAAACTTTAAAATATCAACTAAAGTATATTTTACCTGTTAAATTACATAAAATGACATTTTGTGGATTAGTAAAACATTTTAAGTGATACGGAATCTAGAAGTTCGTTTTTGACTTGTCTAAACCACCAG